TGTGCTGCACTAGACAGGCTGACTAATCTCTCTTTAAATAATCTCCCTTTAAATAGTCTGGAAGCACTGTAGTGAGCTTCTGTTTCAGGAGCCATGAGAACACAGCCATGACTGTGGTCTATATAAATAGCCAGATCCATGCTGGTTAGTAGTGAACAGCACAGTTATTTGTTCTAGGAAGGTGTTCCTATTTTATTCATGTTGCATGGATAGCTGTGATCAAATTATGGTAATGTTTCTCTATAGCAGTGGTGCTGCTGCCTTTTCTCAGACTGCCGTATTGTCAGTGACAGTGAGGAGTGAGCAGGTAGCTTTTGGAGATAGACTTCTATCTCCAGTGGCTTTGCATCTGAGTGGCAATGGGGCTGTGGCTTGCTGGGGTCTGTACAGTAGGCTTTAGCTAAAACAGTGCAGTTCAAACTTTAATCAGTGCTGTAAGTTCAAAAAAATCTCACTGATATTTATAAAATCTAGAAGGTGAGAGCAAGGAATACTTGAATACTCACTGCCTAGCTATGAATCTGGACAGAGTGTAATGTGATGGTCCTGTCTGATGAGGATGAACTTGCCTTATTTGTGCTGTCCTAACTCAGTAATGTAAAAAAAAAAAAAAAAAAAATAAAAAAATTGTTAACCAAGTCTATGTTCCCCATCCTGGCTAAAATAATCTTTTCTTTTGTAATATGGAAGAGTGTAAATGATTGTCCAGGTAGGTACAGGCACTCTGCAGATGCATTAGCTATCTTCAGTTGGCCTCCATCTAGTCCTGAATTATCAAGAAAGCCTTTGAAAACATAAGGATCTGATACACGGCCACTCTAGCGCTTTCCAAGATTTAGGTAAATAGGAGAATCCTCAATGAAGAGCACAGCAAGTCTTGCCTCAGCTGAGGTAGGAGGCATTTGAATTTCTTACTCATAGTGTATTGTCATCTTCTCTCTGCTATCCTACCCACTCAATGCGTCAGAGACCTAAGGCTTGATTTACTTTTTTTAATTTTTTTTTTTCCCCATCCCTGCCCCCTGCTAAGCAGAGGATGTTTGGGCCTTCAATTTTGTGGTGCATCATGTCAGAGATCCTTTTTCTTTCTTCTTTCTTTTTTTTTTTTTTTCTTTTTTTCCCTTTTCCCCTCCCCTCTGCTCAGATATAATTCCCCTGAGCCAGTGGGTTTTTACCAGGGTAAGTGAGCTCACAGGAGAGGCTTGATGCAAGAGGACAGAGGGTTGAGTGGGTCTGAGGAGAGGAAGAGAGACTATTTGGGGGCATAGTACAAACTGGTTACACTTAGAAAGCTTCTCCAAATGCCCCCTCATGTTTGTCTTCCTAATGTTGCTTTTAAGTCACTGTACAGATGACAGGATTTTTGCCTGGCCAGAAGCCCTACCTGATGGGATGGGACACCATTCAGACTGTTCTTTAATCTTACAGGGGGAGGGATATTATTTTTCTTTTCATACTCAGTGCTTACCATCCTCGAATAGGGGCACATCTGGGATCAGGGGTTGCCTCAGTGTGTCATTTATATGGGATTTTAAGCTCATATTTGGCAAAGCAGAAGTTCTGTGCTGTGTTTTGGAAACACCATCAACAAAGACAGTAATGGACTTCTGATGGAAAATACTATAATGTTTGATTATCAACAGTCTTCTGAATTGCAAAGCAAACCCACAACAATCCCAGCCTGTGAATTTAATTAAAAAGAAAAACCAAACCACAGACCGCTTTTTCATTAACTGTTTTTAGTGTACTTACCTTACGTCACTCCAGTAAGATCAACCAGGCTGTTCCTGGGGTAAGTCTGGTCTGCGTTGCCAACTAGTGTGCAGCACATAGGTTCTTTTTGGAAAAGCACAAGAAAAAGACAAAGCTGAAAGTAGCAGAAATCATGTTTCAATGCAGGACAGGTTCCACTGAACAGGGAGGGCAAAAAGCAGCACAATCTGCCCTGTCACATTTTGCAGGGCTAAGGGTGAGTCAAAATGCAATACATTTTGTTGTCTTCCCTTTAGCACAATGGCTTCATTTCCTGTCTTGAAGCAAGCGACATTGTTCCAGAATGGTACCTGGAGCTATCGAATTCCAGCCCTGCTCTACCTGCCACGTTTCAGCATCATCTTGGCATTTGCTGAAGAACGAGAGGATGTGGTGGATGAACATGCCAAGCTAATTGCGATGCGCAGAGGTGTTTATGACCCAACCACGCACCATGTTCAGGTACCAGTGTGGGGAGAAAATGGGGAAGACCGCCCACCTGTACTGCTGCCCTGTCCCCAAATGAGTTGAATGTGTTTGCCCTCTTGCTGTAGGGAGAGGGCAGCTTCTCCTCCTCCCCAGTTATAGGAGACAAATCTGCTTATAAGCAATGCATGTGTCATTATAACTGCTGGGATTCAACCCCATGACTGGGCAGCTGTTGGAGGGACTAAAGTGGGCAGGCACAGCAGATTTTCTGGGGATGGCTTTGACCTATCATCATAGAGCTGGGGAAGCAGACAGAGAGATGGGACAAAAGTCCTGTTGCAATAGCAAGGCTGTGAAGGAGAGGCAGAAATGGGGAGTGCCACAGGGATGGGGAGGAGTGAATTAGCAATCAGTGGCTATGTTTTTAAACTCATCTTCTTAAGACTAGTTTCTCATTTAAAAAATAGTTGAGAACAGCTAGTCTCCCCACGCAAAAGA